GCTTTTTCCTTTTTATTTAGCAAACCAAGTTTTGTCTATTGTAAGTGGCCATTTCTTTATACTACTATAGAAAGAAGTTTATCAAGAATCCAAGCCAAAAGAGAGTGGAGTACTAGACACGCATTCGATCGGTGTCCCCTATCGTTTAATTGCATTAACATTTCGCATTCAAAACTCATCAGCGTCGCTAACTGCACTGCATTTTGCATTCAAGTCGTCAACGTCGCCACAAATGGGGATTGATGCCTGCCATTAAGCCGGGGAACGGGCGAACGGGCCGGGGATAGCTTTGAGCCAAAGGAAAGTCAGCTCCATCGCCGGCCTCTCGCCCGGCCGGCCGGGCAGCCAACCGTGAGACACCGACCCAGCTTGGCGGCCAGCTACATAACTCGGCTCGCAGCACCAGCTAGTAGAACGCTTCTTGTGCGGGTGTTGATTGGGACTACGAGAGGAGTACTTCAGTGCTTAATCATAAAGACAGACTACGAGACTACTACGAGAGTGCTGTGCATGACCGGGTCTAGGTCAAATGCATGCCTGATCTGGACATGACCCCGCCGGAGGAAACGATCAACCTCGCCGTGCCCCGGCCGGTTTAACGTACGTACGTACCTGTCACGGTCACATCGCCTGAGACGTCCGGCAGGTAGTACGTACGTGCCAGCCTTCGGGAAGACTCAAAGTGCACCTCGCGCGCAGTTATTGGCGTGGCCGGCGCCGTACGACTGCTGCGTCGCAGCGCGACGGGGACGACGACGGGAACGGGAGTGGTGTTGCTGTGGCGATGGGTCCATGGATGGACAATCGGTCGCACGGCACCGTCAACACCACTTCGGTTGCAGCAGCCACGTGCGTCCGTGACCCAGCACGAACCGCCCTCCCCTGCCCCCGTGCGGCAAGTACGAATATTGCATGGAAGGTTGCTGATGAGATATTGCTATTGCCTGCTCTTAGTTAAGCTTCGTGTTTGCGGGAGTACAAGATTATGTGAGTTTTTTTTTCCTGAAAAGGAGAGCATACCCTGGCTAGAAGATCTTTTTTTTCTAGATAAAGGACGTTTTTATTAACTGAAAATGTAGCATCAAGCGGATACAAAGCATAGTGAGCAACACCTAGCCTCTGCATAGTTAAGAGCATCTCCAGCTGTTCGGCCTGCCCAGGGGCTTGAAATAGTGCCGCTTGGGGGCGAACTGGCGATAAAATAAGCATGGGAGCGGTAGATTTTCCAGCCGCCGCCCCAAGGTCGCCCCAGATGCCGTTTTTTAAAAATCATACTCGGCCAAAATTCCGCCAAACACGACACAATTGGACTAAATTTAGGCGTTCCATTGATTTTTGTACATATTGAAAACATAATTTAAAAACAACGACGACCACTACGCCGCCAGCGCCCGCCGCGTTGCCTTGAGCCTACATGTCGAAGAGCTTGCAGAAGGCATTGTAGTCGCCATCGTCGTCCTCCTCGTCCTTCACACCTAAGGATGGCAATTTTACCCACGGGTACGGGTACCCGCCGGTACCGTATCCGCATGGGCATGGTATGGGCACACTTTTATACCCATGGATAGTACCCATCTCCTATCCGTTAAGTCATGGATAGGGTACGGGTATAGCCTTGTACCCGCGGATATACCCATACCCTGTCCGTTTGTGAATTAATGTTAATTTGTCATCAATTAGTCATTAATTTGTCATGTGACTCGTCTACTCGTATTGACTTAAGAATATGTCATGGTTTCTAAATTTTGATATTGGTCATTTACTCATCTACCTATTATTTGGCTGAGATAATTGATTTTTTGTGTCAAATGTGCTATCAATGAGCATAAAATTGTGAACAACTTGTGTACTATTTATTCTACTTGTTGGGTACCCAATGGGTACGTGTACCCGTTGGGTATGGGTATGGGTACAGATTCATACCCATGGGAACGGGTATGGGTAGAATTTTGTACCCATTGACTATACGGGTATGGGTATGGTATTGTTCTACCCTGCCCATACCCTACCCATTGCCATCCTTATTCACACCGTCGTTGTCCTTGCAACACACCCCTACCCTGGGTCGCCTAGGTGGACGGGGTTGGTTGGCGGTGGTACCTCGTCGTCGCTGTCCTCGAGGACGATGACTCCGCCCTCGTCGCGGCCGCGCCGCCGAGCGGCGATCTCCTCGAGGGCGTGGT